GTGCGGAGATTTGCGATTAATGAAAATTAATCTCAATTTTCTTTCATCTTGATTGTATATTCAGGTTAATATTATCACGATTCCTAGTTTCATTTTGCTGATGAAATGAATATAATAATCTTTAATGTACAATTCACCCGCATATGGATAAATTAACCATTCTATGCGAAAAAAAGAAACGGTTTTCCATATATATTTATCACTCAAATGCCCGCATTTTGCACCGTTTATATGCGACTTATTATTCGGGGTCAACATTAATCTCAAAAGACTATGTATTATAATACATGTCATTCAAATTATTCACATTCTTGAAAATATAATAATTAAAAATTTTGTAAAAAGAAAATTAATAAATTTATTAACTTTACAGAAAAAATTAATTTAATTAAAATAAATATAACAAAATTTGCCCACTGTCCTACATTTTTCATGAATTTGTTTTTATTATTATTATTATTATTATTAAATATAATATTTATTTTTCATACTTGGTTGGCAGACAAAAAAATTAATCATCTTACCAAACAGTGATGTAAATAATTTTTTTTTTCAAAAAAACAACTGACCGTGTAATAAGACATTTTCAGTTCCGCCGATGTGAATTTACTGTTATAAATATGTTCTCCTTTTCAAGACAATTTCATAATTATAAATGTAGAGAGAGACAGAGAAAGAGAAAGAGAAAAATGTTAATATATAAAGTGGTTTTAATTACCACACTAAAAGACATAATTAATTGTTACTGGAAATTGCTTCGAGAACAGATACCAATTGACAATAATATTGTAAAATGTAAAAGAAAAATTTTATTTCTTCCTAAAAATTAAAACTTAATAATCTTAAATTTTTCAATCCTTTTCTGTTTTAATTTATTTGAGCGAAAACAATTACTGCACTGAAATTAAATTTCAATTTTTAATCTATATTTTTTAACTGCTGTATTTATTATTAAAATTCAAAGGCCTCGGATCGACTTTAAGGCTCAAAGAAAGTCGATTAAAAATAAAAAAAATCACATTTTTTGAAAATTTGTGATTTTTTTTTTTTTTTATTAAATAGTCGAAAAAGGTAAAAAAAAGTCATAATATCCGAGGCCTGAGTTCATAATAACAATTGTTGCTAATTATTATAATTAATATATTATAACTAATTATTATTATTATTATTATTTTATTATTATTATTATTAATATTATTATTTTTATTATTTTTAGAAAATAATCGAACTTTTACTTAATAACAATAATTGCGAATGAATGGAAACGATTCCTGTGATTTCTGACGGTTGAAAAATCTGAGGTGAGAATTTAACGAGTCGAGGGATAAAAGAGAAGTTGGCACTCTTGGTGCAAACTATAGCCAGGGTCGAGTGGCTCCATTGCCCCGTGAAATTAACGTGCCTTTCCATTCGTGCGGAAATTGGCCAACGGATGCTTTATCGGACAGAAAAGTCCTCACAGGAATTTATTTTCTTTTTTTCCTCGAGAAAATCTTTTGTAGGTTAAAGGCTACAATGACCTTACCAAAAAAAAAAAAAAAAAAAATGTCTCATTTTAATCTACACAATCAGAATTATATTGGAATTTGAATAAATACTTCACATAATAATTTGTCCGGACTCCAAAAAGTTAAAGAAAATGCAACGATAGAAAAATAGAAAAAGAAAAAAGAAAAAAAAAGAAAAAAAATTAATAAAAAATAAATAAAAAAGAAAAGAAAATAAACTAAATAAAATATAAAATATAAATAAAATATAATCTAAATAAATAAATAAATAAATAAATAAAAAGAAAAAAGAAAAATAATAGAAATAGTAAAAAATAGTAAAAAAAAGTAACGAATAACTAATGAACAAACTTCACGAATTCATTAAAATAAAATATTCCTAGTCCGTAAGAAGCAAAAATTTTCATATACATAAGGAATCGTTACGTGAAATTATTTAAACTAGACGTGACAATTCTAAAAAGAAATTCTTCCGGATTATGCGAACAAACAGAAAAAAAGAAGAAAAAACAAAGTGGAAACGAATAAAAGAGAATAAAATATATTCTGAAGAAAGTTGTTTTCTTGTGAAGTTGACTTAATTATATATTCTGAGACGAGAAGCATTCACTCATTCAAGAGGTCGCTAATGATTCTCATGATTGTACATTTTAAGTTCAATCCTTGAGTGCTCTTCTTCTTTTCGCGAATAACGAAACAAGTGTCATTATACTTGGAATTTATTTCCGGATAATGGAAATTATGTGAATTTATTTTTACATCCAATGAACGTACAAAATATAATTTCAAATTTAACATCGAGAAACACTTTTCAGAAAAAAATTTTTCAAAAAAAAAAAGAAAACGACCTTAGAGAAAATTTTCTACACAACGAGAATAAAATTTTGTAGTTAAAAAAAAAAGAAAACCATTTAACAATAAAAATAATAAGTTAATAATAATTAAAACTAATAATTAAATAATTTTAATTAATTAAATAGCAATAATTAATAAATGAATAATAATTAATAAATGAATAATAATTAATAATTAATAATAATTAATTAATTAATTAATAAATTGACAATTGTTTCGTGAAAAATCCTGGGAAAATTCAAATAATAATTAAATTATTGTTATTTAATATTATTATATTTTTTATTTTATCTTAATTTCATTTTGATATTTTATTATATTTTTTTATTTTATTTTGTTTTTTTTATTATATTTTGTTATTTTATTATTTTATTATTTTATTTTGTTATTTTGTTATTTTATTATTTTATTTTGTTATTTTGTTATTTTATTATTTTATTTTGTTATTTTATTATTTTATTTTGTTATTTTGTTATTTTATTATTTTATTTTGTTATTTTGTTATTTTGTTATTTTATTATTTTATTTTGTTATTTTATTATTTTATTTTGTTATTTTATTATTTTATTTTGTTATTTTGTTATTTTATTATATATTATTGTTTAATGTAACAATTTAGTTACTTAAGGGCATTTGAACCATGATGACGTCACAGATTTAAAACTAATGCTTTGCACAAACTGTGACGTCATCAAGGTTCAAATCCCCTTAATATTTAACATAATTCTTATATGATAATTTATAATTATTATTAAAATTATTTTACAACTAAAAAAATATCTTTCCTTTCAAGAAAGACAATAAAATTTTTTTTCATTTCTTTGAAAAAAGATTTGGTTTAAAAATAAAATTTAATTTGAATACAGACTTATTTTCAAATTAAATTTATTCCACTTTTTCAGACAATGTGCCGTATTACTTTTTTTCTATTTTTTTTTTTAAACGAATAAATTGTGCATTGCGTGCTTTGTGCGCGTGCGTAATAAGCATGCGACCGGAAATGCACGCACATGTATATATATGTATATACAAAACGCACAAAGTACCACGAGAATGCGAGCAGCTGCAATTGCTGGTACACATTAATTTAAATAATTAATAATAACCTTCGTTCTGTCTTTAAATCCAAAAGATTTTTTCAAACTAATTTCCACTTCTTTTTTTCAAAAGTAAAAATTTTCAAAAACGAAAAATATTTTTTCTCTCTTTTTTTTAAATTTTGTTTTATATTTCACTTGATGAAGAAATTATTAATTAACTGCATTTTAAAATTTATTTGAGAAAATAAACTTGATAACTTCTATTAATTGATGAAAAAAATAAAATTTTAATCAGAACTATAATATTGGAATTTAGCTAATTTAATTAATTAATTCATTAAATCTAAATTTCAATTCGAATTATAATTAGAAAAAAATTGACTAAATTACTAATCATTAATTAGTATTTATCATGTTAATTATTATAATCAGAATTATAATTAGAATTCAATTTATAAATATAAGCATAATACCAATCTAACTGATTAGCAATGTAGTTAATTTTTAAAAAATTCTAATTCTAATTATAATTCCAAGTAAAAAAACAATCAAAATCCTAATCAACTAAATTGGTATTAATTATGTTAATTATTAAACCAGAATTTATTATAATTATAATACGAATTTAGCTGATTAGCAATGTAAAATAATTTATTTAAAATTCGAATTATAATTTGAATTAGAAAAAAAATTAGCTTAAATACTAATCAACTAAAATTGATATTAATTATGTTAATTATTATTAAATCAGGATTATAATTATAATACGAATTTAGCTGATTTGATATTTACTTATTTTTTTTCTAATTAAATTTTTAAAAATAATTATAATACCAATTTAGCTAATTAGCGATTTACCTAATTTTTTTCTAGTTCTAATTATAAATATAATTAAAATACCAATTTAACTGATTGGTAATTTAATAATTTTTTCGTTAATTTTTATTAATTTCTTTTAATTTTTATTCTAATTCTAATTATTTTATCTAATAGCAATTCAGCTATTTTTCTAATTCCAATTCAAATTAGAATTTTAATTACAAAAAATTACTGAATTGCTAATAATCATGTTAATTATTAAATTATGTTAAATAAGAATTAAAAAAAAAATGAAGAGAAATTTTTGCTTTTCAAAGTGAAAATTCAGTGAACGAATAAAGTATAGACTGAACAAACAAAAAATATGAGAGAAAAAACATGATTTCTGATCTGTCAGTCATGTTTAAAAATTATTACAATGAAAAATGCAGTAATTTCGTCTACATCCGGTGATGTTTAAAAATTATTTTCACTGGAATGTCGCCACGGAGTTAGACACAAAGCTTCATTAAAATGAATCATCATCATCATCATTTCTGTTGTTATAAATTCGTTACGAGTTGATAAACGCGAGAATTGTCTTTTTATAAAATTTAACACATATAATACCAACAATTCTCGCAACAATACCTATAATTATCCCAATTATTCTATAAAATATTATTTAAAATAAATTATCCTCCAAATATGATATGAGAAGAAATCTTAATTTGCGATCTTTATATGAGAAATATATTTCTCAAGCAGTGTACGAAAAATAGTAATTTATTTACTGACAAACGTTCATCTGGCATAACTTTTTTGAGTGGTTTTTTTATTGGTGAATAAAAAAAATGTTGGTAATTGGAAAAATATCTCTCGCTCGGAAATAGAAAATTTTTTTACTCCAGAAAAGTTAATTTTTTTTTCTTTAATTTTTTCTAATTACCTTTATCGTTGTTAAGTGTTACAGATTCCACCGGAAATCCTCGAGGTAGAGATAAAAACTTCGACTCACCTGGAAAATAGAGAAAAATCGATTTTTGTTATTTTTTTTTTTTGCATTAGTTAAAAGTAAATATGAATGGAACAAATTAAATAATAAATAAAATTATGTCAAAGCCTAAATATAGTAATTTTTACAAGGGAGGGACAATTTTTCTTTCTTCATCTGCAAAATTAATATTTATTTTATTTTACAAAATAAATATTTAATTTGTTCACGAAATAAATATTTAATTTGTTAACAAAATAATTATTTCAATTATTTACAAAGTAAATATTTCAAATACTTACAAATAAATATTCAATTTGTCTACAAAATAAATATTTCATTTGTTTATAAAATTAATATCTCAATTGTATATAAAATAAATAAAAAATATTTTCCTAAGTAAAATAAAAATATCTATTCAATAGTTATTAGTTAATAGAATAAATATTTTATTGAATATGGAATATTATTATAAAATTGTATTTTCATTAAAGTTTATTCACAGGTCAAGAGTTTAATGTTTGAGTGGATGTGAGATTGGAAGCAGCCACTTCACTCAATTAAACCCAATTTCGTGGATCCCATTGGACTGTGTATATCCTCTTGAAACTACCATTTACATCTCGCTTATTAATCCTAAAAGTATATAATATATCTATAAGCATTTTTCTAATTCCGAAACAAAACAACTAATTTCAATTCTTCAACGATACAGGAGCTTATAAATTTGCCAAACAGAAAATAAATAAATAAAAAAATAAAATATAAAAAAAAATAAAAAATAAAATATATCGATCAAATTATCCCTGTTTTATTATTAATTATCAATAATAATAATTATTAATTATTAAATTATTATTAATTGTAACTGCAATTATTAAAATTACAATTACTATTGGAATTGCGACCATTAAAATTGTAATTATTATTAAAATTACAGTTATGAAAATTGTAATTATTATTATTAAAATTACAGTTATAAAAATTGTAATTATTATTAAAATTTACAATTTCTTTAATTTTTTAATATATACATATATTTAATTAATTATTTAAAAATTAAAATAGTGGATTTATAGACGCATTTTACTCAAAAACACTTAAAAAATTGAATATTGGAAAAATGATAAATGATTGCATAAATTCAATTAATTTCAAAAGTTATCAAAATCTTTTTCAAAATTAAATTATTTTTAAAATTTTAAATAAAATTCTTGTCAAAATTCATTTTTTTTAAATAAATTTTTAATAAAATTTTTGGTAAAATTTCAATTATTTTCAAAAATTTTCCTCAATTTCATATGAATTCTATTATATACAATTTTTTTCATAAATTTCTTCGCAATAATTTAATTATTTTCAATAAATAATCAAATTTTTTACATCTATTGAATTATTTTCATAAATAATCAAATTCTTTTTAGGAATTCGCAATTATTTTCATAAATAAAATTCATCGCAGAATTTCAATTATTTTTTAATACAATTTTAATCGAATTGTTCGAAAAATGTAATTATTCTTAAAACTTTTATTAAAAATCGTCAAAAGAAATCAATTATTTAAAAATGTTTTAATAAAATACTTTATGAGAATTCAATTTTAAGAAATATTCAATTATTCAAAGAATTATTTATTTTTGCATTTAAATAGTTGAACTCTCGTAGAATTTTCTAATAAAAATTAATTTAAAAATGAATTTCTGTTAAAATTTTAGATTTGAATATTTATTATTCAAATTATTCAAATATTCAAATAATATATTTTATAGCATGAATTTTAAGAAAAAATTGAATTTTGAAAAGGTTTCAAATTATATTCTTTGAAAATCTTAATTTTTCATATTTTTAACTAACAATTTTGTGGAATTAATTGTTTTAAAAAAGTTTAATTGAATTTTTTTCTGAAATTATTTCAAGTGTTTATTTTTTAATACGTATTCAATTGAAGAATTTCTGAATAATCGAAATTTCACGTAAAATTGAAAAAGTAAACAAATGGATTTAAAAATTCTCAAAGAAGAACTTTTTCAAAAATTATTAAAGATAATTGATTTAAAAAAAAATTTATTTTAAACTTCTAGAGAATAATAATTGAATTAAAATGATGAAAATAATTTTAAAAAAATTACAGTTAAAATATTTCTATTATATAAAATAATGATCTTATCACTCGGTTATATTTAATTTATTATAAATCATGAAGAAATTGATTACTCGGAGTGACCGGTTTCTTCATGATTTATAATAAATATTCTTATAAGTTGTTAAATTTTAAAAAAGTTTGAATTTGAATCTTTTGAAGAATTTTAATTCGTATGGAAAAGTAATAATGATTAAATATTTATTTAGAAAAGAAGTTATTAATGTTTTCGAATAATTTTACAATCGTTTTTAACAAATAGAAATTTTGTAAATTTTTTTCCTTAATAAATTTAAAATTTCTGAAACAAAATTTGATTTTTAACATTTTTTTTTACTTAAAACTTGTACTTTATTTATAAATTGTAATTGAGAAGCAGAAAATGTGCAAAATATTTTCTACTTTCTAATTTTAATTTTCCAACCATTTTTCATTTTTTTTTTAGAAAAAAGGAAAAAATAGTTGCATAATTTCGATTTGTCAAACAATTAAGTTTTTGATATTAAAAAAGGATTATTAAAAATATAATTCTGAAAATTTAAATTGTAATTATTATTAAAATCACAGTTATGAAAATTGTAATTATTATTGAAATTACAATTATTAAAATTCAAATTATAATTATTATTCAAATTACAATTATTAAAATTATAATTATTAAAGTTATAATTATTATTAAAATTATAATTTATTATCGAAAAATAAAATTACTAAAATTACAACTTCATAAAATATTAAATAATTAGAATTATTAAAATTTTAATTTATAATAAATATTTGTTATAAAAATGATAATTATCACTTTCGTTACGATTAATTTAACAAATAAAGTTTAATGTCATGCGTCTGGGAAGAGGGAATTTTTATACACGAAAATATCTGAACAAGTATTATGCGACTATCGATCGAAATGTTCGGTTACATTGATAACCGAGAGGCCCGAAATCGAGTCCCTCGTGACTACACGCGACAAATAACAAAATTCGAGTTGGGTTAATGGCCAATACAGCAGCTGCATTGTTGTTTATCGCAAATGTTTACCCCCTGGCTATAATTCTCTATCGAATGCCCATTGGCACAGAGACGACTTGTTTTTCCCGTATTTGCACTCTTTCTACGACTATTTTTCTCGCAAAACAAAAAAAAACAAAAAAAAAAAAAAATTGGTCTGGAAAACAAAAAAAAATCTACAAAAAAGAAAAATTGATAAAATAAATAATTACATGTAGAGAAAAAAATTGCTTATCGAAATAACAAAAGTTAATTAATTAATTTGTCGTTGTTGTCAGAAAAAAATTAATTGATCAGAAAAACAAAAAAGACTGAGTAAATTAATTACAATTAATAGAAAAAAATTGTTGATCGACATAAACAAAATTATTTAATTAATTTGTTGTTGATGCAAAAAGTAAAAATTAATAGAAAAAAATTATTGATCGACATAAACAAAATTATTTAATCAATTTGTTGTTGTTGGTAAAAAAAGTAAAAATTGTCCCTAACACCAAAAAAAAAATGGTACAGTATTTGTTTCCTTTTACCATTACATAAAAAATAATTGTCACAGCGTGATGAAAATGGAAAATTTTCAAAGTGTCAAGAGAAAATATATTTTCATTTTTCCCGGCTTCGCAACAATTATTTCACTTTTTTTTTTATGGTTCAGGAAAATATTTGCGTAATCCGCACTGGAGAGGTGAAAGCTGCGCCTGACTCTTTTAGAGTAATTTTTCGCCTGGTCTACATCAATGTGTATATACATATATCCAAAGAGTTGATATGATCTGCTGGGGAGTTGGCTATTCACTATATTCCAAAAAAGGTGCGAAATGAATGTGAACTACTCGTCAGTGCGTGTTACCTCATCATCGTAGTCGCGCTAATTAAAATGATTGCAATGGCTTTTGCTCATGAAATAGAGAAAATTAAAAAAAAAAAAAGAAATAAACAATGGCATGCCTTCGAAACAAAAGCGAGAATCGAGATCTTGTCCAAAGTCAAAAAATGAATGGCAACTTTTTTTTCCCTCGCAAATTATATACAATTTTCAGTATATATAGTAAAAATGACTCTAATTTCAAAGATCATAAATTTGAGTAAAAGTATAGAAAACAATTTTTAGTGACATACATTTTTTTTCAGGAAACATTTGTGTGTATGCCAATCGAAATTTTCTTTCTTTTTTACTATCAGAGTTGACAAAAAATTTTAATTTTGCTAAAAACTAAAAAAATTCAATTTTGGAGAAATTACAAATAATTGCAGAAATTCAAATTTTCAAAGAAAATAAAATTCTTATAAAATCCAACTATACGTTCAAAATTTTTAAAAAATTCTCCTAAAAATCCCAATTATCTTTATAAATAACAAAATTCTTCTCCAAAGTTCAATTATTTTCATAAATGTAAAAAAAAATTCTTGTCCTAATTTCAATTATTTTCAAAAAAATAAAATGCATTTTTCTAATTTCAATGATTTTCAATATCTACTATTTTAATAAAATTTCCCAAAAAAAATTCAATTATTTAAAAAAATTTTTAATAAAATTGTATGAAAACATTTAATTATTTTCATAAATAATAAAAATTTCACCGGAATTCAATTATTTTTATAAAAAATAATTTAAAATTCTAGAAAATAATAATTGAATTAAAATGATGAAAATAATTTTGATGAAGTTACAGTAACAATCACAGTTGTTTAACAATTTTCTAATTTTGTTTAGAAGTAACGAACAAAAATCTGCATAATTTCAATTTGACAAAACATAATATTTAACAAAATTTTAGTCTTTTAATGAAAAGAAGTGAAAAAAATTCTTATGATTTCTATTTTTCATTACAATTTTAAATTAATTACTTTTTAAAAATTATTTTTATAATTT